TCACGTACATAAATAATTTAGGAAGTTTATTCTCCACTCTTACTTTCTGGAAATAATTTGTTTTAATCTCTTCACCTGCTGCTTTAACATCAATTCTTTGTCATAACCTTGTGAGTCACCTAGCACATTTTTTTCAGGACAAATCATCATCACCTCTAAGTAATTTGTACACAGGAATTTTTTTTCACCTCTAATGTTGTCACTGGACATATTTTTCTAAGCTTCACGTGTCCATTAGCATAATGCTAGGATACACTTTTTTTCAGTTGTCTTCTATGTGTTTATTTATGATTTCCACATTAAGACTTATTTTATTGCCATGTTCTTTAGAGGGCTTACTTACAACTACACCAATATTTGTAATTGTAACTCCCCCCAAAATAATAAACTTAACTCTTAGCTTCTTTCTCTATAAAATGAGACTATTTAAAACCTTAAAAAAATTTATTTGACATGATACGAATATAAATATCCTGCTCCCTGGGTGCCAGGCACTGCTTTAATGCTATAGAAATAGTAAATAATCTACTCCTCAAAACACATCTGTGAGGGGGAGAGTGTTGTTTTCATTCCAGAGAAGAGAAGCCTGAGGCATGGAGTGGTTAGTAATGTGCCCAGGTTGGCCAGGGGCAGAGCAAACGCAGGCAGCCTGGCTCCTGAACCAGTCCTCCTCATCCTCGTGTTGTTTTCCATCCTGCTGTCTTGCTGCTCACTGTTGGGAAGGGTCAGCGCAGCAACATATACAGTGTGCACGCACAGTGCCACACACACACGTGACGAGCTCAGAAAGGGCCAGCCATAGGAGGCGTGGGCATCTTTTCTCAGTATCAGTAATTAGCATCCTTCTTTTTTGGTCTGACCCCAAGCCACTGTGCAGCCACTAGGACCCCCTGCTTCCAGGAGTCTGGCTCCCCATTGAGTCTGTTTCCTGGGATATCCAGTGGCTCTCCAAGAGCTAGTGGAGGAGTCCCATGTCTCCAACAACAAATGAAAAGTGCTGCTTTCATCTTGTTTGCTAATGTGTTCTTTGTTATGTATGACTCATACACTCCTTTCTTTTTTCTTAAGACTTTATCCATTTATTTGAGAGACAGCAAGCAAAAATTATGATTTTATCCATTTATCCTGGGATCATGACCTGAGCCAAGAGAGACGCTCAACCGACCGAGTCACCTAGGCACCTGTGACTCACAAATTTCTAATAAAACTTGAGATGATGATACATTTTTTTTTCTGAATAAATGTATTGGTATATATTGCAAGTACCCATCTTATCGCAATGGCCTCATCAACTGTGGTATTCTGAGCGAATTTCAAATATTGAACTCCATAAACTCTTAACTTAATAAATGTTCAATTTCATATGATTTAAAATTTGGTAAAATTGTTAGTTTCTAAAAAACGCCTTCAAACAGTATTCCTTATGGCTTTTATGAAGCAAAAGTAATTCTGTACTGTACCCTCTAAGGTCCAGGAAATTGCAAAGGCAAAAAAAAAAAAAAAATTGGAGCAAGTTTGCAGGAGAGGTCACATAAAATTAAAAAAAAAAAAAACACAAAAACTATTCCTTGTGTAAAAAAAAAAATGAATACGGAGTTTCATAAAGTATGGAGATGATTTAGATAAATACTCATGGGCTTATTCTTATGTGCCTTAAAGAAAATGCTAGATCCCAATTTACATAACTTGCGTGTAAAATTTTTATTTTAATTATAATTGTAAGGGAAAACCATCGATGTAAGAAAATACTGAAAGACATGTGGCATGTAGGAGATTACACAACCACATCTGATGGTGCAAATGCTAAAAGTTAGCAAATGAAACTGGATGGTGTGTCAGTTATTTACCTTATTTACCATCCTAAAGCTACATGAGAACAAGGACATCCCAGAAATTGAGCTGTGTTCAGATGCTGTGGCAAAGGAAGTGTGTGTGTGTGTGTGTGTGTGTGTGTGTGTGTGTGTGTGCAGGTGTGCATGCCCTGGTATGCGAGCACTGTGATCACGGATGCACAGAGATTATATAACATGTTTTGTTGTTGTCTGTTTTGTTTTTGATTCTTTTTTTGTAATAACCGAGTCTCTGCAACCAGATCCATATACGTTTCAATTCTTAGTTCTGCCATTTATTGGCTATGGGGTGTTTGAACATTATTTGATTTAGTTCTCTCACATATTTATTTGAGACAATAATTTCTAAAACATTTGGTGTGAATTATGAATGAATCACATGCAAGGTCTTCGCAGAGTGAATAGCATATCGAGCTTAGAACACTGTATCTTTTTTTGTATATTTTTTATTGGAGTTTGATTTGCCAACATATAGTATTAACACCCAGTGCTCATCCCATCCAGTGGGATCCCATCCCCCTCAGTGCCCGTCACTGTATCTTTAAATACATCTATACACAGAGCTAATGCCATTAGATTCTGCTCTAGAAAAAAGACTTTAGGCTATTATTTTTTTATAATGTGTGGCTGAAAAAGATTTTTAAAAAGCAGCGTGTTTTCTTTTGAGCAAACGGATCATTCATTCCTCATGGAAGAACTGAACTTCTTTGTATCTGAGAGCCTATTCCTGTCATAGATGGCTAAAGCATACCTCTTGAAAATTAAAAGTACAAAACAATATTTAGGATTAAAATAAGTAGAAATCACAGTTTAAGCTCAGATGCGGCAGTAGTTGCTATCAACAAGCCTGCTTTTATCTGAGTCTTAATTTCTCTAGTAATTAAGATTCTTGAAAAAAAAAATTTTTATTTTTACCTGATTGGAATAGAAGGCCTTTTTGTTCTAAATGATTAAGCTGATGATGTCCATTTATAAATTAATTGTCTGATGAAGAAATGTTCACAGGAAGTTTTAGAAAGACATTCTGGTCTACTGTTTAGAACAAAAAAATCTGTCAGCTGATGGTATTTTATACGTGACCTTTTCTGGATGTGTGATTATTTAGAATTAAATTTTGAGATTGGACATTTGTAACATTGATGTCCTCGGGATCCATGCCCCAAAATTGCATTTCAAAGCAGGGTTCATCACATTATAAAGGCAAAAGCCAAAACCACGCCCTTCTATAGTTAATCAACACTAAAACTAGTTTTGTAGTCTCCCAAAAAATGTTATGGTGAAGATATGGTCTTCTGTGCAACTGTTCTGTGAGAGAACCCTGATGTAACCTGCTGGAGGAGGAAATATTTCAGTAAACACTACTGACTTGTCTGACAGCTAACTTATTTTAATTTTAGAATGAGACTTCACGTACTAATTTCATAGCACAAAATTATGCATAGATCTTAAACATTTCGTTACTTGGAGGTTATTCAGTATTAATTACTTCAGTAAAGGGATTTTCTATTTACCTCCATTGAAATAAAATAGGCTGAATATATATTTCTAAATTAAAATTTGAAAATCCTAAAAAAAAAAAAATACCTGCGGTGCAGTTATTTGTAATGATACTTACCAGTAAAACACCAGTAAATACTACCTGTATGTGACCATCTTATAAGTTCCAACAGGCTTTAATATTTTTCATTAAAATAGTATTTCTGTTTAATAGCGCAAGCCAACCAGCAGTTCACGCTTTTTCTGCGAAGGACCACACAGTAAATCGTTCAGGCTTTGTAAATGGCAACAAGTCTCTATAGCAACCACTTGACTCTGTCTTTGTAGAGCAGGACAATATATAAACAAATAAGCGTGGCTGTCTTCCAATAAAACTTTATGTGGGAACTAAAATTTCAATGCTTATATAATTTTCACATGCACTTTATTATTCTGCTTATGTATTTTTAACTATTTAAAGATGTGATTTTTAGCTCTCAGGCCATACAAAAAAGGGGGCAGCAGGTCAGATTTGACTTATAAACTCATTTGAAGACCTCTAATCAGAGGTTTGGAGCTGTCATCTATGCTTCATTGACTTGCTCTTATTTTATTTTTAGGTTTTTGTTTTGTTTAGTTTTTTGTTTATTTGTTTATTTGTTTTGTTTTGTTTTTGTTTTTTGCTAGGGTCCCCTTTCGTTTGTGAATCTGAAGTTTATCTTCAAGTAACTTCTTTCTGTGGATTCTAAATTATTCTATCTGGAATAGAACAAAATATCTTCCCTTTTCCATAGCATAGGCCTTTACAAGTTCAAAGAAAGCCACACTTACTCTCAAGACTTTCTCTCTCTGTGTTAGTATTTCCTCAACTCTTTCCAGATGTTTATGTTCAATGGCTGATCTCCTTTGTTTGCTCCTTATTTTTCTAATTATTCTTTGCAAAGTGAGCTCAAACTGAACAAATATTTTTTTAAGTTATTGTCCATCCAGTGGAGAGTTTAAAAGAATCCTTGTTTCCATAGATCTTTGTACTAAGCAACAGTGAAATGTAGTTGTTAGGAGTGGAAGCTGTCGATTTTAGCTTTGTTGGTTTATTTCTTTAAATATAACTGAATTCATTATAAAGATGCCTTATTTATCAATGATCAGATAACCCTGGTATTATTTCCTATGCTTACAAGTGGTTAATTAGCATGTATTTTTTAGTGCTTACTTTCTACAAACTGGATATACTTGCCAGGCATGGTTATTGAGAGGAAATAATAGTACAAAAAATGTTCTTAAAAGCAGAGACATTAGAGAAAAGTCATAAATCCATTTTCCCATCAGAAAGTGGCTTTTAGTAAACCAATCATAGAATAAGTAATTAAATTAAAATAGTTTACCATCACCTTCCAAACAGCTTTATTCACTCCATTCATTTTCCCAGGTACGCCAAAGGCACATTAATGATTATTTCCCTACTTTATTGGGTTCTGCCATGCCTTATCTGTCCAATGGAGGATAGAACCACTTATCATATTAAAGAAACATGATATTAATTGCAAGTAGCACTGAATTTTTCTAGATGAAAACAGACTAATTTTTACCATTAAATTTCTGACCTTTTTGGCATTGAAAATTGTTTTAAACTATACCATCTTTAGAAAATAAATTGACTTTTTTACTTAACAGGTTCTGGGCTGAACGATGGACAGTGGCATGAGGTTCGTTTCCTAGCTAAGGAAAATTTTGCCGTTCTCACCATTGATGGAGATGAGGCTTCAGCAGTTCGAACTAATAGTCCTCTTCAAGTTAAAACTGGCGAGAAGTACTTTTTTGGAGGTAAGACTGCCATTTTTTTATTGGTTAACTAGTGCATTGTTAGAAATGGAGTTTCAGTGAAGTTTGATTATGAAGTATTTATATTTGATTCAGTAGACTCAGCAGATCTCAGAAAAAAAGCCAAACTCTTATTCCACGAGTTAAAAAGAGTGGCAAATTTATGCTTCTTCATGTTAAAGGTACTTGCATCATGTCACCATATTCTTCTAGTTTAATTCAAATATTCAAAGTATAAAGTATGAGATTCTGAATGTATTCATTCTCATAATACTATCCTCAAGAGTCAGGTCCTTGGGTCACCTACTGCTGTGTAATTAATTACTCTAAACCTTAGTGGTTTAAAACAGCAAAAGTTAAAAAAAATAAATAAAAATAAATAAAACAGCAAAAGTTGCCTCACAGTTATTCTAGTCCTGATTTTTTTTTTTAAATAGGCTCCCCACCCAATATGGAGCTTGAACTCATGACCCCAAGAGTCCCATGCTTCATCATCTGAGCCAGCCAGGCTCCTCTGTGTCACAGTTATTCTAGGTCATGGATTCAGGAAGAATTTAGGTTGCTGATTCCGATTTGTGGTCCCTCATGAGGTTTTTCTACCCACGCACTGACTGTGCATTATCTGCAGCCTTGCCTGGGCTAGAGAGTCAGTTTCCAAGAAGGTGTGCCACTAGGTTGACAGCTGGTACTGGTTGTTGTCCGGGGCGCCCTGGTTCTCCTCCAAGTGGCTCTGATTTTCCAGGCCTGTCTTCTTCAAGCTCCCTCTCTCATAGGTGATGTGTCTGAGAGAGGAGATCAGGGGAGAGAAGTAGAGAGGAGAGGAAAACCAGTAAATGAGAGAGAAAGCTTCCTAGATGGAAGCCAGGGTTGTTTTATAATCTAGTCTTGGACGTGACATCCCATCACTTCAGTTATACACAGTTTGGTAGAAGTGAGTCAGTAAATCCAGACCACACTTAGAGGAAAGAGATTACATGAAGAGACATGCACTGAGAAGATCTTTGAGGCTGCCTACCACGGATCGCCTTACAGGAAAGCCAGCTTATTACACATCTCTTGGTTCTTAAGTCATGAAAAAATTATTGAAAAGAAGGTTCTCTTAAAACAATAATTCTACTATATGTAAAAAAGTGTTGTAGCATGGACTTGGGCATATTTTTTTAGTTCAAAAAGTATATACTGCCAGAATTTTTTATCATTAATGAAACATGAGGACATGTTTTTATTAAAGTGGTAGGTAAAAATAAATAAATAAATAAATAAATAAATAAATAAATAAATAAATGAATAAATAAATATAAAACAAAGTGGTAGGTATGTTGTTTAAATCAATATATATCTTTCACTAGATTATTGACTTCCTCACCCTAAATCATGCAGCAGAAGATTTAAAAAAATATATTGCGTTCTTAGAAAAGGCTCTGTTAAACTTTCAAAAAACATGTGTGTACATATATCTGCTTCTGAAAATCTATTTATTAATATTCACATTTATTTCACTGTCTGTATATCACTATGTTTATATATATTTCTAATTAGTAGAATAAGCCTATTTGAGAATAGTCACCTTGTAGATCTTGTTCCCTGCTATATCCTCCAAGGTCTTAGAAAAATTCCTGGACTATAGATGACCAATATATATGAATGAATTAGTAAATTTAGAAAAACAAGCAAGGCAAGCATTTTACTCCCAGTTGTTTGGAAGAAGAAATAGAAGCCCACAGAGCTTTATTGACTTGCCACTGAGTTTGTAGCCAACACCTGAACTCAAGACCTCTGACTCTTGTACCAGGGTCTTTCTCACTATGCATCAAGATATAATGAGTGACAACTCAGAGGCAAAAGACCTGACCTAGACCTCTCTGTCTTGAATCTTACACTGTGTCCATTGCAAGTTAAAAAACTACACATTTTTTGCAAGCCTCTTGTTAAATATTTGATGATTGGTTGAAAGTCAGACAAGGTGTCTTATGAGTGAATGAACTGGGGCTTATGGGTGTGAGAAAACGTAACCTAGCAGCCCAACTGGTTTTCCTGCAAAAGCATATTTAATATGATGGGATTTTGGCCAATAGTTTTCATTGCTGCCATAGAAAATGGATCACAGTAGTCAGTTGGAAAGCTATTGATAATCCCTACCCATGCAAATGGCAGTGGAATATCTTTGGTCATGGATGAGCATGCTGAATGCCTAAGGCAAGTTTTTGATCTCTCTCCATCTAGATGGGTAGCCTCATCGCTATAACCAACAAATAAGGCACAGAGTTAATGGCATATGAGGGCTTCATAGTGTGCTACTTACTATTGCTTTACAGATTTTTGGTTTTAAACAAGGTGGTTAGGAGCATATTTTCTCCCTTTTGGGTCTTTGGTCTGCCATTGGGAGATGCTGTCAGCAGATGATAACGATACTTCTCTGGTTATATCTTCATCAGCTGAATCCATGGAATATATGAGAATCACCAGGGGGACTTGTTACATTTCAGAATTCTCAGCCCCCACTCCTGGAACTCAATGTAGAATGCTGGGAAAATAAAGAATCCCAAGTTTCAAGTTATTCTGGCACAAATGATCTGAGGAACAGAATTATAGATCAACCTTAGCCAATTTGCATGCACATCTTTCAGATTCTCCTGAAAGACCGTGTCAGTCACCAAAAAGTAAGATAAGTGAGAATTAGCTACCGCCGTGTAGCTTAGCCACCATGGAGCAGTAAAAAGAAACCACAGGCCAAGGTCTGGTGCACATACAGACGTTGATTAAATGAACATTTTTATTAGCGAGCTGGCACAATGCAGTTAATACAAATTCTTCTGTAAGCTCATTGAAGTCCTAGCTCTCTGACTTGCTATACTTTGAATAAAATGTTCTCTTTGGGCAGCTTTCACAGGATTTTAGAAGCAGGATTCAGCTATCCTCAGCCAGTGCCAAACAACAGAAAGTCTCCTAAGCTGATGACTGGCACACGATCACTAAGTGATCCAGATTCCAGAACTATGTCCAAGGCTTCAGGTCACCAGCTTCACTTGTCTTATCCTGTCTGCACACAGGCTGTGGGTATCTCTAAAAGGTGTTTTGCCAAACTACACATCCTTAATATCCTTAATTTCACGACTGAGATATCTTCCCTGACATTTATCTAACATTTATGCTGATTAACAAAGCCCTAATTTCACCAAAGAAAACCCAGTTTGGCATTTAGTAAGTTGATTAGAGGAACAGGCAGCAGAAATCCTGAGTAGCTGCCTCTGGGATGCTGCTTTCAGATTAGAGTGTGAGCTGTCTCTAGATTGTAAGTTAAACACACACACAGCTTCCTCTTGTCTGTGCTGACAAATTTAAAGTCAGTTGTAGATGTTGTAAATAAAAACATCTTAAGAAACATTAGGAGAGTGGAAAGAAAATTGACTCCCTTCTAAAATAGGAGCTTTGAAACCCACATTCCTGGCTTGGGGTTGTGGCTTCACTTAGTTGATAGATCATTTTAATGACTCATCTTACTTCTTCATCCAACTGAAAGGCAGTGGAATTTTAAATAATGTAGTGAATATTCCCAGCATTACCTGTTAAACCCAGGGTCTGACTCCAGGGGATGCTAAGTGCTGACTCCTTTTCCAATCCGTGTGGAGTCTTTAACTCATCAGGGACAGCCCAGCCCCTTTCTAAGAAAGATCTGAGGTTTCAGACCATGTGCTCCTCTAAAGCATCTGACTGACGTCTCCGCAAATCAAAGCATTCCTTCCTCCTTGGTGAAAAACAAATTATTTTCTTACCAGGTGAAAGCCTTAACTAAAGGCTTGCTGGCCTTATGTACTCAATTACAGATTCCTGAACGTGTGCACACTTGGTTTCTTTTGAAGTAAAGTCCTGGTCATGTAGCTTCTATTCTTTGTGGCTGATTCCTACCAGCGTGGAGCTTTATCTCCCCATGCCTGTGCCCTATTAATCCCAGAAAATGCCTTAGTTCTCCTCTGGAGCACTCGTGATCAGATGTTTAAGGACCAAGAATTCTTCTGCCTTGTTCTTTCTTGGGAATAAACAGAAAAAAAAAAGAGATTATTTATTTGGGATGTTTCCTCAGCAGCAGTTATTTTGGTTGCTTTAGTTCTTTTCTCTACCACCCAACTGGAGTTACTTTTGATAACACTTCATTGATTTTAACAATCAAAGGAAATTTATTTATTGACTGTTTACTGGTAATAGGCTTCTGATACCGGCCAGAGCCCCATGGTCATGAGAGAATAGAAGGATTTGTAAATGTCTAAATTTTCTCAGGATTGGTATTTGTTTATTATTATTATTTTGTTGCTTTCATTTGGAAGGAAAGGAACAGTGGGCTGAAGAGAAGAGGTAAGAAATTTTGAGAACTAGTCTTCCTGGAAGAGGGTGGCTGCTCTCGAGAGAGACTTTCCTTCCAAATATACATGGATTATTTCATTTATCTTTTCTGCTATAAAACTGGGATCTTGGGATCCCTGGGTGGCTCAGCGGTTTGGCACCTGCCTTTGGCCCAGGGCGCCATCCTGGAGTCCCGGGATCGAGTCCCACATTGGGCTCCTGGCATGGAGCCTGCCTCTCCCTCCTCCTGTGTCTCTGCCTCTCTCTCTCTCTCTCTCTCTCTCTCTCTCTCTCTCTCTATGTCTATCATGAATAAATAAATTTTAAAAATCTTTATAAAAAACTGGGATCTCAGTTTGTTCATTTATACCCAAAAAGGTTATAGAGCCTCTAGTATAACCCATGCTAAGTGCTGGGTTATGCTAGATGCTGGCCATATACCATGACAAAAAAAAAAAAGAAGAAGAAGAAGAAGAAGAAGACGACGACGACGACGACGACGAAGACGACGACGACGACATAATCTGCGCGGAATTTATAGTTTTTGTGGAATTTATAGTTTTTTGCTTTCACAGCAACATGCGACTCACCCTTATAAAGTTGTCATTTTATATTATTTGTATGATTCTCTTACTAATTTTATAGCTATTCTGAGCTCCATCTGG